TTTGGATCATCAAACCGAATTCTGCCGGCAGATTTGAAACGGTGTCGGGGATTGACAACGTTCTTCCCAACTCCCCCGACTGTCTGCACAAGATTAACCTGAGGATGAAAGGCAGACAGCAGTTTTATGTCGCTTCATGCAGTGAATTTATCTTTAGTCTTCCGTCGTCAATGATCCTCATTCATTTTCTGCCGTTTTCTCCGTTGGGGTGTCGCGGATGAGCTGCAGCTTATGGCAGGCCGCTTTTTGAAAAAAAAATAAATAAAAATTATTACCGTATTTTCCACACTGAAAGGCACTCCGGATTATGAGGCGCACCTTCAATGAATGGCCTATTTTGTAATTTCTTTCATACACTGGGCGCACCGCATTATAAGACGCAATCTACAATGCATCCACTAGATGGAGCTACGCTCAAGGGAACGCCAACAGAACGATCAGATGTCAGTAAAACTTCTGAATGAAGCAGCGACACCGTTCACTTAACCAACAGCAAGTTATAATATTGACTCGTTAAAGTTGAACTCTCTTGCCACTGCTCGATTTCCGTGTTCAACTGTGAAACCGATCGCCTTAAGTTTGAACTCGCATGTCTCGAGCAAGGAGCCATTTTGGGGTCGAAATATTACCGTAATGACCATACACAAGGCACATCGGATTTTAAGACGCGCTGGGAGCTTTTCAGAAAATGCGCACCTAAAAGCCTTTAGGTGCGCCTTTTAGTGCGGAAAATACGGTATGCTGTTTTTTTTTTCCCCGAGTCAAAATGTGGCCTCAACTGTTTAAGGTACCCCACAAATGATGTATCAAGAGATGCATCTCACCCAATTCATTTGAGGTGTAGCTTCCGAATCGCACTGCAACATCCGTTTTGCAATCAGTCAACATTAACTTAATAAAGAAAACCAAACTTTTGAAGAAATTCACGAACACATATGATTTGTACGAAATCACCGCACCAAAGGAAAAACAACCATTCATGACCACCCCTTCAGCCTGTTTGACAAAAAAAAAAAAAAAAAAGGTCCATAAATGAAGAGACCTCAGATAGTGAGAGGCAAGAGGCGGGGTGCCTATCGGGAATTTCAGGAAAATATGCTAATTTTTCCGAACAGCCGGTGTACTTCCTTGCTAGTCCTGGCATCACGGACAGCAGCAAAAAAAAAAAATAAGAATAATAATTCTGAATGAAGTTCTCCAACTCACTTCAAAATGACAAAACAGCAAATAGGTAAGTTTTTAATGTTTTCTGCGGATCACAGGGGATCGATCGGCTCCAGCAAAAAAATCATGACAATGCAAGTTTGCAAATGCAGCAAATACACGGAAGTTTGACTGAACATGAGTCATAGGTGAGAAACCGCTTTATTATTTCTATAACACGACGTACGACAAGCGGGCTGTTGTTGGCACCGAAGCGAATGTCCTCATAAAAGCAAAGCAAACTTCACAACCTTCTGCGTCATCATCTATCATGGTAAATGTGCTGAGTGGCCCGTCATTCTTCCTCAGGGAAATAAAAAACCGATTAGAGTCCACTTGACTCAGGGAAGCAGGTCCATTGAAGCGCTCATAAATTACTTGGCTGACTCCATCAACAAGGCCCATTTGGGAGGAGTTCATGGGTGCCATTTTGTAATGCTCACGCTGTGGGAAGTAAACAAACTTTATTTATTTATTTATTTATTTTTAAACATGAAGGTTCAAGATTCCTTCGTATTAGTAAAAGGGACAACCTTAACTTTAGAACCAGGGGCCTCATCTACATACAAAAACATGTCGTCCGCACTTTTTAGCTCAAATGTGCAAATGTATCAAGAGTGAAATGATCGTGATGCTCCAGGACAACGGCGGACCATCCATCCATCCATTTTCCGATCCGCATTATCCTCACAAGGGTCGCCGGGGGGCGCCGGAGCCTCTCCCAGCTGTCGGCGGGGGACACCCTGAACCGGTTGCCAGCCAATCGCAGGGCACACACAGACCAACAACCACCCGTGCTCACACTCACGTCTCGGGGCAATTTGGAGTCTTCAATCAGCCTGCCATGCATGTTTTTGGAATGTGGGAGGAAAGCGCAGTACCCGGAGAATACCCACGCCGGGCCGGGGAGAACATGCTAACTCCACACGGGAAAGCCAGAGCCGGGATCGAACCCACGACCTCTGCACTGTGAGGTCGGCGCGCTAACCACTGGCTCACCGGGCCAACGGCAGACCTTGTTTTAACTTTAAGTCAAGCCAATCACAAACTGATGCCACTTCCATTTGCGCATTAAGCTACAATTGGTGGCAGATCTTTGCCACGGAGCTTGTTGTTGACTCTCAAAAGACATTGTGCCAAAAATATTTTTGGGGGGTCTCATCTTTGTCTACAAGCATCTGCGGCTCAGCCTTGAAGTTGCTCTTTTTTTCCCCATTAGTGATTCATGGTTTAATAATGCGATTATCTGCTCATGCAGCGTGATAATTCCTACCGACATGCCCTGTTTACACTAATTTGCATATTTTACAGGGGCGTGGCAAGAGAGGAGTCTGGTACGCCAACATTTCCACACGCGCACAGATATTGTGTGTTTTTGCGTGAGTTGGTATGGCACTGGATGCCAGTCAAGCGAGGCACGCCGCTGATTGCGAGGCAGACGTGCTCAGCACACGCTGCAACATTTTGCCCCCATGCTGACGGCATCACATAAAAATGCAACACAAATTGATTTCAGGTTTTAAAAAAAAAAACAAAAAAACGAATCAATGTTATATTGGAAAAAAAAAAATCAAGCCATCCTAATTGTACTCACAAAAGACAACGGGAGAAAACTCATTTGCCATGAATTAAAAACAGCCTGTTATAAACAATGCAATGCCTACCAACCCCGACACAGCACATCTCAAACGAAAACAAAGGCACATCGGATTTTAAGACGCGCTGGGAGCTTTTCAGAAAATGCGCACCTAAAAGCCTTTAGGTGCGCCTTTTAGTGCGGAAAATACGGTATGCTGTTTTTTTTTTCCCCGAGTCAAAATGTGGCCTCAACTGTTTAAGGTACCCCACAAATGATGTATCAAGAGATGCATCTCACCCAATTCATTTGAGGTGTAGCTTCCGAATCGCACTGCAACACCCGTTTTGCAATCAGTCAACATTAACTTAATAAAGAAAACCAAACTTTTGAAGAAATTCACGAACACATATGATTTGTACGAAATCACCGCACCAAAGGAAAAACAACCATTCATGACCACCCCTTCAGCCTGTTTGACAAAAAAAAAAAAAAAAAAAGATCTGCCTTTGTTGAGACCTCAGATAGTGAGAGGCAAGAGGCGGGGTGCCTATCGGGAATTTCAGGAAAATATGCTAATTTTTCCGAACAGCCGGTGTACTTCCTTGCTAGTCCTGGCATCACGGACAGCAGCAAAAAAAAAAAATAAGAATAATAATTCTGAATGAAGTTCTCCAACTCACTTCAAAATGACAAAACAGCAAATAGGTAAGTTTTTAATGTTTTCTGCGGATCACAGGGGATCGATCGGCTCCAGCAAAAAAATCATGACAATGCAAGTTTGCAAATGCAGCAAATACACGGAAGTTTGACTGAACATGAGTCATAGGTGAGAAACCGCTTTATTATTTCTATAACACGACGTACGACAAGCGGGCTGTTGTTGGCACCGAAGCGAATGTCCTCATAAAAGCAAAGCAAACTTCAACCTTCTGAGCGTCATCATCTATCATGGTAAATGTGCTGAGTGGCCCGTCATTCTTCCTCAGGGAAATAAAAGCCCGATTAGAGTCCACTTGACTCAGGGAAGCAGGTCCATTGAAGCGCTCATAAATTACTTGGCTGACTCCATCAACAAGGCCCATTTGGGAGGAGTTCATGGGTGCCATTTTGTAATGCTCACGCTGTGGGAAGTAAACAAACTTTATTTATTTATTTATTTATTTTTAAACATGAAGGTTCAAGATTCCTTCGTATTAGTAAAAGGGACAACCTTAACTTTAGAACCAGGGGCCTCATCTACATACAAAAACATGTCGTCCGCACTTTTTAGCTCAAATGTGCAAATGTATCAAGAGTGAAATGATCGTGATGCTCCAGGACAACGGCGGACCATCCATCCATCCATTTTCCGATCCGCATTATCCTCACAAGGGTCGCCGGGGGGCGCCGGAGCCTATCCCAGCTGTCGGCGGGGGACACCCTGAACCGGTTGCCAGCCAATCGCAGGGCACACACAGACCAACAACCACCCGTGCTCACACTCACGTCTCGGGGCAATTTGGAGTCTTCAATCAGCCTGCCATGCATGTTTTTGGAATGTGGGAGGAAAGCGCAGTACCCGGAGAATACCCACGCCGGGCCGGGGAGAACATGCTAACTCCACACGGGAAAGCCAGAGCCGGGATCGAACCCACGACCTCTGCACTGTGAGGTCGGCGCGCTAACCACTGGCTCACCGGGCCAACGGCAGACCTTGTTTTAACTTTAAGTCAAGCCAATCACAAACTGATGCCACTTCCATTTGCGCATTAAGCTACAATTGGTGGCAGATCTTTGCCACGGAGCTTGTTGTTGACTCTCAAAAGACATTGTGCCAAAAATATTTTTGGGGGGTCTCATCTTTGTCTACAAGCATCTGCGGCTCAGCCTTGAAGTTGCTCTTTTTTTCCCCATTAGTGATTCATGGTTTAATAATGCGATTATCTGCTCATGCAGCGTGATAATTCCTACCGACATGCCCTGTTTACACTAATTTGCATATTTTACAGGGGCGTGGCAAGAGAGGAGTCTGGTACGCCAACATTTCCACACGCGCACAGATATTGTGTGTTTTTGCGTGACTTGGTATGGCACTGGATGCCAGTCAAGCGAGGCACGCCGCTGATTGCGAGGCAGACGTGCTCAGCACACGCTGCAACATTTTGCCCCCATGCTGACGGCATCACATAAAAATGCAACACAAATTGATTTCAGGTTTTAAAAAAAAAAACAAAAAAACGAATCAATGTTATATTGGAAAAAAAAAAATCAAGCCATCCTAATTGTACTCACAAAAGACAACGGGAGAAAACTCATTTGCCATGAATTAAAAACAGCCTGTTATAAACAATGCAATGCCTACCAACCCCGACACAGCACATCTCAAACGAAAACAAAACAGGAAATGGAAAGTTGCCGCAACACAGTGCAAAATAAGCCATTTGATCATGAATTTACAGTAACAGGACAAACTACAATGCGTTCGAGTACACCCGCATGGAAACCGAGCTCCTGCAAATTTGCAAATCATGTTACCAAACACGGACCAAAGTCATTTTTGACATTCAACAAATGACAAACCTGCAGCGTCTAAATACAATGGTAAATACTTTGGGTCTGAGTCTCAATTTTTCCTCTTTGTTTGTTTTACAACTTGGTCTGTGTGGATTCTTCCTCCTCATCCGAGCTGGAATCGGAGCACTTTTCTTCATTGTGGCGCTGAACTCTGTCCTTTCCGTCCATGTTCTTGCGCTTCTCGTTGGGCTCCATCTCTCGGAAGTGAGCTTCGATCTTGCTCGGGTCGGTGTATGTGTAGAAATAGCCCATGATGGCAAAGCTGATGCACACCGCCACCAGCAAGGACGCAAAGAGAATGTACTCGGCCCACTGAGGAATACAATTATCACGATGATCAGTAATATAGTTATCATTGTCACAAGTATTTCTCTTTCGTCGTTCGAAAAGCACCCACCTGATCTTCAAGTGTCGCTGCCTCGGCAACAATGAGCACAATGATATTTCCGACAGCAACTGTTAACAGCCAACCGGCCTGCAGGACTGATTTCATGTTGCTGGGTGCCTGGGAAGAAGTTACAGTTTGGACATACACTAACTTATTGGAACAATAAAGATCCAGTGGTACCTCTTCATACGAAATTTTCAAGTTACGAAATGCCTCAACAGGAAAATATTGCCTCTTGTTATATATAATCTTATTGTAACACGTATTTGTTACATATTTTCATGTATTTTTTGCTCCAGAAAACATTTATTTCTGCATTTGGAGGGGGTGGGGGGTGCTTGGAACGGATGAGGGCATTTTCATGGAAAACGCATCTCTACGCAAAATTTTCTAGAAAAGAAATTTCTTCCAGAACACATTAATTTCGTAAGTAGAGGTACCACTGTACACAATCAACAATCCATATAAAAGGATGAGGATTGATTAAAAAAAAAAAAATATATATATATAATAATAATAACTTGAGTACATTGTTGAATGTGAATGTATACTACCGTATTTTTTAAGCTAGCATACGTTTTATGTTTGTAACCCAGCCGCTGGGGGGCAGTGCCCTCCCCTGGGGGTGCACTGTTCCCCAGTGCCGGTCCCAAGCCCGGAGAAATGGGGAGGGTTGCGTCAGGAATGGCATCCGGCGTAAAACTTTTGCCAAGACGACCATGCGAAACCGACAAATCACTGTGATTGCACAGCCTCGGTGGAGAAGGGAGCGCTCCCGAGCACACACGTGTCAGTAAACGTCTTCTTACATTTGGTCCAAATGTGAAAGTGGGTGGGATGACCAAGGTGTAAGAGCTGCCGAAGCCAAGTTGCTGGTTGTAGATGCACTGGCCTCCTGTGTTGTTCTCGATCAGGAACTGTGCACTGAATATGTCAAGAACGCAAGAGTCAGAGCGTTTCTTGGTGCTGCTTATGAGCAGAAAAGAACGGAAGATAAAACTCGTCACGTACTTCCCGTGCGGTACTGCCAAATACTTGGACATGTTGGAAGCACCCACACCATTGAAGTCCAGATTACCAATTGTTATGTTCAAAGTCGAGCCGAGGCCATTGAAAAATCTGCAGGAGAACAAATTAGTTACAACAAGACAATACGATTACCGTATTTTACGCACGATAAGGCACACCTAAAAACATTAAATTTTCCCAAAAGCCGACAGTGCGCCCTATAATCTGATGCGCCTTATATACGGTGTTAGTTACAGTCTCTTTATAGTCCCCATTCAGTTGTTTCCCTGTTAGTGTTCCTGTGCCATCGAGTGGTGATTATTGGCAGGAACCAATTGTCACCTAAAAGGGTTCCGCCCGCCACTAATTAATTCATATGTGCAGTCGCCAACACACACTGAAACGGACAACTATTTTGTGAGCTCTGTGCCGCCATTATGAAACGAAGACAACACCAAAAGGAAAGTTAACTGGAACCAACTGTCACCTAAAAGGATTCCGCCCACCACTAATTCATATGTGCAGTCGCCAACACACACTGAAACGGACAACTACTTTGTGAGCTCTGTGCCGCCATTATGAAACGAAGACAAGACCAAAAGGCAAGTTAACTATTAACATTACAAAGGAAGAAGGAGACAAGTAAGACTTCTGAGGATATTTAGCCCCTTGTGGATGTGAGCCCATGAGGTTTGTGTACCTTTTTGTTGAATCAGTTGTCTTCATAACTTTTGTCTTTCCATTCATTGTTCTGTAATGCCATTTGTATTGATATGTCCATGTTTATGACCAGTTCTCATGGCTTTGTTCCAGTTGCAGCGGTCTTCATAACTTTTGTCTTTCATTTATTGCTGTGTAATGCCATTTTTATGTTTCATTTCCATGTTTGTGACCAGTTCTCATGGCTTTGTTCCAGTTGCAGCGGTTGTGAAGGCTCTATATAAATAAAGCTGCATTGTATTGTATTCCCTATACCGTCGCTCTATCTAGTGGCTGCATAGCGCAACTGCAGCCACTATTGTAGCTTCTATTCTATGCGCACTATATAGTTTTAAAATAGGCCATTCATTGAAGGTGCGCCTTAAAATCCGAAGTGCCTTATAGTGTATAAAAATACGGTATATTAATACTTCCAAATTGAAATGTTGAACTTACCTTATAGCATTGGCACCCTGTTCTGGCTTGGCTGTGATATCATCAAACTGTAGTGGGAGAAGTTTCAAGTTTGAGTTTCAAGTTCAAGACATGCTTCCTTGACCTCATCTGCTAGCCTTCCTTACCACTACTGGTCTGGGCAGAGGCCCATCCTGAAGGATCACCAGAGTATTCCGAGACGCGTCACTCAAAGTGATGGGATAAAAAGCGCCGGGGCCCAGTTCCAGAGAAAATGAGTCATCGAATGTCAGGTAGTCATTGTTGGCCTGTTGAAAGAAAATGAATCGGTCGGTCAGGTGACTCGCATTGAGTGGATCGTGTCGTCCGGGCTGCTGAATTACCGTGAAAGCATCCAACTTAAATGAGTGCGACCCAGCCGTGATGTCTAATGGCCTGTCGAGCATGTTGAGAACCTTCACTTGGCTCTGTGTGCTTAACGGAAAGGTGGGCAGGGTTTGCTGAAAGGAGAGTCAAACAAGGTATGGAAAACGTCACGGGCGTCCCGCGTGTGCGAGCGAGTCACACTCACATCAATCTGGATCTGAACCAGGCCTGCGGCAACAAACGCCAAAGCGGCGAGGAACATCCCCGTGGTCATCCTCTTCAACGGGCTGCAATACAGCATGCGTGCGCAAATGAATTGCATCCGCTTTTCCTGTTCGTGGCCATGAAGCAGCCAAAGCCGGGATTCTCAAAGCGGGGTACCGGGAAGCGGAGCCAATATAGATATGTTAATAAATTGATATATAAATGACATATCTTATATATAATTATATAATTATAATAAATTAATTTTTATAAATACAATATTAAATCTACTTTTCAGGAATCAATTTTTTTTGATCAACCCGTGGGCCTACTTTGCCACCATTTTTTTAAATGTTCGTTAAGAGCCACTGAGCTGATTTTAGTCCCCCTGCAAATATAAGGGGGCCCACGGTTTATGAGAGTACCGCTACACAACGTTTCGAGGTTACAAATTGTGCACATTGAACGGTGCCACATTCATATTGACTGTAAGAATAACTTTGCTACAGCGGTAGCGTCGGTTAGTGACAGATCATTTTGGCCTATGTTATCGCTGTCTGAAAGGAACTCCTCTGTTTACCGAGGACCCCTCGGTCAGTGTATTTGTCATCAAGGGGGACAGGAAAAAAGTGGAAGGCGTATGGCATCGAACATCACCGACCGCAAGACTCACCTGAAGTTCAACTTGCACTTGGAGATGAGCGGGTAGACCAGACTATCCACGATTGGCACCAGAATCAGGATCAAGATGGGGTTGACCGTCTGGCGGGGAGCAATGTGACTTGCTCAGTTGGTCTCAAAAGATCCCAACCGTGATTATTTACAAAAGAGCTCACCTGCATCTGGTCGGGCTGGATTATGAGGATTCCCTGTTGAAAACAGAAGCGATTGTCAGCGTCGGTTTCTGGGAACTTTGCAGCATGGATTCTGATCACTCACGACTTACAAAGTCACCGTCCATGGTCGTCGCCTGGAGGGTCCATCTTGATCCCTGTGGAGGAGACACAACTTCTCTTGAGGCTAAACTGCATTGGCTATGTCCGCTCCCTTAATACACGAAGAAGAAGAAAAGATCATGAGGTGGGATCGGTGGGCATTGGCGACTCACCTGCTGGTCAAAGAGAGCCCAGAACATTGGCAGGGGGATGTAGAGGAACAGCACCTTGACCACCATCTTCACCTGGGCAATCAAAAGTTTCTACAACAACAAGCAGGAGAAATAATGTTATTCTTGCATGTCATGATATTAAAAAAAAAAAAAAAAAAAAACAAGTCAGTGATAAACATTTTACAATGAGCGCTATCATCGCCGCAGGAGCCCAAGGATGAATTAGTCGACCTGTTTGAGTCAGCTGATTTATTTTTCCATCCAGTCAGATGGTAAATGGGCTCTTAAGTACAGTGCAGTGGTGGCTTGAGATGAGATTTCGATTCATTTCGTGAACATGCTCCTTAGAACTCAAAAAATTTGCATCTCAAATCATCTTTGACCACAGAAATGAATGGATATTTCCATTTATTTGCTGTTCCGTAATCATGGGAAAACGAAGCTTCATGAACCGCCTGTGATACTTTTTGACACCTTTAGATGGTGCTCTTGGTTTAAATATAGAGGTTAGTGCAATGGAAATGTATTAAAATTCCACTGCATCTTTAAACCAAGAGTGCCCTCTAGAGGAGTCAAAAACTTAGACAAGTGCTTCACAAAGCTTCACTTGTCCACCACTACTGTTCCGGCGAGAAACTGGTGAAAACATGGTTTTAAAATAAATAAAAGATAGTAATCGATCGATAATGCTGTGCTTTATAAAAACATACAGTCATGACATCATCAAAATAAAAGAATTCAATCATGCCAATAAAGAATTAATGAATTACATAAATGGAATGGGAAAAAACAAAACCATTTTTGCCACTTTTTTTTTGTTTTTGCTTGAATTCAATTGATATTGTGCTTCCACATCTGGTGTGTGCACCGCCAGGCCACCTGGGGGCAGCATAATACCTCCACCCATTAATTTTTCTGTCCCTCACTGGAGCCTATCCCTGCTGGCTTTTGGCAAGAGGTGGGGTCCACCCGCAACTTGTCATCACCCAAACACAGAGCACACGTAGACAGTTTTGAGTGTTCAATTCACCTACAGACATACGGAGATACATTTCTTCAGTAAGATGAAATGATACAAATTGATCTTTGCCGAGGATAAAGAACAGTGATTATCGTCTATTGTTTGTCTACATATGTTGCTCCACAGTTTGTGTTCAAATATCAGCGGCTCGAGGGTTACAACACCAAAAACATCACACAACTTTTCGCAGTGGCTTTTTGCATTGTTTGTTCGCATCAAGCCAAGCAAGACTTTGCAAAGGCAAAGCTGTGTGTTTGGGAGTGGCATTAAAAAGCGTGAAAGTCTATTTTGGGGGGAAAATTGCTCATTATCTGCCAAACTGCTGCTTTTACATCGCATCAAGTAGATTAGAAAGAGATTGCTACAATGCACTTCCCCAGGAAAATGAAACATAAAAGCATGACTTGAAGATTTTTTTTTTCATATAATGCAAGTTGGAACAACTTTAAAATATAAATTGCGGACAGAATGCATGGATGATTATCTTGACTTGGCTTTCACACAATTTTTTCGCAGTTATGTGATTTCAGGTGTTTTGCGCGTGAATATTCTGATCTTACGTCATATCTTTCTTCAGCCCAGTCCATCCAGTGCTCTCTTTTCGGGTATGCCGGATGACGATGCCTGAAGCGGTTGCTGATTGCAAACTGCAGCAGATGAGAGACAGATTGTTGTTGTTGTTGTTTTTTTTTGCTCGCTGAACCACAGAAGTCAAAAGTGATGGCTGTAGGTACACGTACCCCGATGCATTTGCAGACTTTCACCATGATGTTTCCCTGAGGAGCAGTCTTGTTGTACATTTGACTTCCCACAATGAACACAACTGCATATAGCCACACACACACATAGAAATAAAAGAAAAAAGAATTGGCGCTGAGTTACGCCTGAACAAGTTTTACACAAAGTTTTTCTCATATTGTGTCGGAAATTGTTCCACGGGTTCAACAAGGTCGAATGAAATATTTGCAGTTTGGAGGAGAAAATAAGTTGGAAATGTAATTGGCACCTAAAAATAAATACCCCTCTCAGTTTTGATCCCAACTGCCATTGGCATCTTTAGATACTGGATTGCTAACTATATCGGGTTCTTGCTCTGACAAAAAAAAAAAAAAAAAAAAACGAGGGGGGGGGGGGGGGGGTTGGGAAAGGCAGCCAACTTTGCCTTTCACTTTTAGATGTTTTCATGATTACAATGATGTTGCTTTAATAAAAAAAAAAACCTTTGCGTTCCCTTGCAAAGTTTTGCATTCCTTTTTGTGTTGTTTGTTTGTTTGTTTTGTTTTTTTAAATGCACGTTTACTGTATGTACTTCTGGGTCAGCTTGGCTAATGTAGACTCTCATGCGCGGCTGGTCAAGAGACATCACTACTTCGGGGAAAGAGAAAATGATGGAGGAGGACTTGGAAAGTGTATTTAAGATCAAGAACAGATTTCAGGTCTTTGTATTTCAAGCCAATTTCAAAGTAAAATTCCATTAAACTCGCCAAGGGTTGAAAACGCTCCATGTTTGTTGTTTTCCGTTACCCGGAAGATGACTGGGCAGTACATCAACGCGCATTAAAAAAAAGCACCCCCTTGCAAAAAAAAAAAAAAAGTTTGTGTTATTTCGCAATCTTTGCGAGGCAAAGTTTTTTTTTCCCCTTCCATGTCCTCTTCGGGGCTCCACAAGAGAGTCTCAGAAGGGATGAGACGAAATTCCGTGACGAATACTGAACCCTTAACACGTTTCGTAAACTAACTCAAGCAGAGCAAACGGGCGGGATTCTTACTCAGAGCGACCACCATGAGGGCTGCGGGGACACCAAAAGCCAGCGGGTAACATTTCTGCTGACTGTGGATTCCACATTCCTGGGCTGGAAGGCAACACACGCAGCAAACACATGATTGCAGCTCGGCCTTAATTTGGACACGTCCTTTTTGATGCGGATGTCGTCGAGGCACATACCTCTGAGGATGGGGGTGATGACGGTGGACAGCAGACTGCCTGCATTAATGGACAGGTAGAAAATGGAAAAAAAAGTGCTCCTCTGCTTCTCCTATCGGAGACGAGATGTCGAAAAAAAGGTCAAGAAGCCTTCTTATGCAACCCGCAGTAATCTTTGTACTCGGCCTTGGACAATGCTCTCGGGTGAAAATTGCTGAGAAGCATCAGATAAGTGCGTTCAGGAGATAATAGTCATACCTTGCCTTGGTCAAAACATGTGTACACGGCAGGACATTTGTCATAGTTATGGTAACACGTGGCTGACTATTATTTTGCACTTGTTATCATTCCCGCTGCCTCGTCTGAGGCCCCACTTCCAGAATAAAGAAAAACAGCCCCGATACAAAGGCCCCGTGCTTCACTGCAGGCATGTTGTTCTTTTTTGGTGATGAGCAGGCTTGTGTTTGCGCCAAATCTGCATTTGTTTGGAACAATGGCCAAAAATGTCAACCTTGGTTTTATCAGACCTGTAACAGGGTTCCCACGGGTCCTTAAAGTTCATAAAAATCCATAAAAAAGAAGTAAAATTATGTTCTTAATTTTCAGGGCAAGCTTCTAAAATCAATAAAAGTCCTTAAAAATTATTTTATTGAAAAATAAATTGACGTTTTATATTTTCTACATTTAAATTTTTCTTAGTGTACTTCATTTGAGAATGAATTCAAGTTTCACAGTATGTCAAATAAATGTTAGCTGATTGCCCCTAAAAATAAAGATGTGCCCCTCCTTTCGCAGCAATGATTTGAACACCAGCTCAGTGAGATGTGGCTTTCTGTTCAGCCCGCATATTGCTGAGCGGGCATTAAATCCACCGTGAACGGAGAAAAAAAATCGTTAAAAATTGCTAAATTAGTCCTCAAAAGTCCTTAAAAGGTCCATAAATAAAAAGCAAATGGAAGAGTGGGAACTAACACATTTTCCCATTTGCGCTCGGGGGATTTCAAGTGTGGTTTTGCAAAATGTTGATCATTGACTTTGTTTTCCTTCATCACTTCCCTTTTTTTTTGTTTTTTTTTAAATAAATGTCTATAAAATACATTCATTTACTGGATACAAAATAAAATTAAATTTCCTAAGCTAGCTTTACCTGTATTAATTGATTGGTTTCAACATGTTAAATGGATGAGTGGTGAAGAGTCACGTCAAAGGGACCCTTGCATCCTTGGACTTTATGTAGAAAACCAATCACGTGTTCCAGCCTACCTGATGGTCTTCAAACTGGTCTCCACCAAAGGCCGCAACACAAGGTTTGATGCCTCCTGTTCCCAGGGCGATAAGAAGCAAACCCACCATGGACAGAGCTCTGCGGGAAGAAGGCCGCCAGTCAAGTTTTTAACAACTGACGCAAGCTCGGCGCCTGAGCGCTTACACGTGGAAAGCCATGTTGTCCGGGGTTCCGTCACGGTCGTTGTCTGTGATGTCATGAATGGCGCTGACTGCCAAGACCACCTGCCCCAAAGCGTACACAATGGACAGGTAAACGATAGTCCTGCACGGAGGGGAAAGAGCGAAGACGTTGATGGACGCTCGTGCTCCGACTGCGATCGGGCAAAGTGACTCGGTGCCGCGAGACCCACTTGAACTTGCCCAGCCAAGAGTCGGCCACGATGGCACCCAGGATCGGGGTCAGGTAGCAGAGGGCAACAAAGGTATGGTAGATGGTGGTGGCAAAGTCATCGTCCCACCGCAGGAAGTACTTAAAGTAAAGCACCAGCACAGCTGCGGGGAAGGGAGAGAAGGTTCAAAATGACGGGTCAGATCCGCATTCGCAAGCTGCCGTCTGATCGTTCCTTGAACGGTGACGTTTGACTCAAATTGAGATTCATTCTCTGCGAACAAGGACACTCACCTCGCATGCCATAGTAGGAGAAGCGCTCACAGAACTCGTTGACCACAATAAAAAAGATGCTAATTGGGTAGCCGCACACCAAAGCCTGGAAGACATTTTTATTCCTATTAGTCATTTGGTGATGTCATTTGTACGGATGGTACACAAAACAAGTACTTATTTGTCCTGCTGAGTAGAACAAATGAAGAATCTGGATTACCGGTCTGTATAATTTCACAATGTACCTTTTGTACATTTGGAAAAAAATACACACAGTACTTACACTTTTTGACTTGGGCTTGCCCAGTTCATCTTTTCCTGTCAACAATCATAATAAAGGCGGAAAAAAACTGTTTTAAGCAAAACATCAATGAGGATATTAATGTTACTCATTTAAAAACACTGATGATACGCCTACGAGTATAAATTTGAATTATTCATTGATTTACGAAGCAACCATCTAAATCAGACTCACCTGCCATGGCTGAATGTGTCCAGTGAGATCGTTTAGCCCGTCGCTGCTCAAGACCCTTAATAAGTCAAGTCTCAACTGGAATCGAGCAAGGTGAGCTTTTATAACCTCCCATCTGCCGATGCCCGGTGCGCGAGTCACAGACTGAAAATGCACGTGGATGAGCCGTGTATGCTCGTTATCAAGGCTAAACGTGCAGATAAGGTCGGTTATATACTGGCCGATCATTCACAGTATAATTGTGCAAGGGCGTCATTTCTGCAGATGTGGAAGCAATCAAATGGCGAGGAAGGGACTTTTACAATGACAAAGCAACATCATTTGGATTGTGAATGTCAGATGTAGAGTTGAAGTTGTGTGGAAAGACAACGGGGATGCCGGTGCCCCGTTGAATCCGGAAAAAGAATCCTTGAAAAAGAGCGGCAGCCGGACGCCAAGCCCTGCCCGGATGACCAAGCTTTTCATTCTCTCTCAAAAAGACACGCCGTGAAGAAAAATTATTTGTAGCCGTGATTTTTTTTTTAGGTCGTGATGCACAATTTCGGGAAATCAAGTTTCACCTTTGGGCTCAGACCAATTTAGTCTGCATTCGTGCAGACCTTACAGTCTTCACTCTCTCAGTCATGAACAAGAGCGCAGCAGGCTTGCATTCTTCCAACTGGGGCAAAATCACAACCCCGATCTGGAGAGGGCACCTCACCCTTTTTCGACTGAGGACCATAGTCTCAGATTTGGGAGGTGTTGATTGTCCTACCATTTGCTTCGCACTAGGCTGTGAAGCGCTCCAATGAGAGTTGGGGTCGGCGCGCTAACAGTCGATTGCGGAAGGTTGCTTGGCTTGAAAAGGAGATCTTCGGTTGGGCACCCTTGGTCTCGATAAAAAGATAGCATGCAAATGGGGATTCACATGAGAGAAGAGATCCTCTGGGTCCGGGACGGAAAGCGGGGGATTCTGGGGTCATGATGGGAAATGTATTTTTCGTAAACATCAAGAGGCAAAGGTCAAAAGAATCAGGTGCACAATTTCAGTATCACTGTCCCACTTGGACTGGATTTTTGCTTTTCTCTGTATGCTGTTTTGTTTTCTTTACATCTGTGTGCCTTTATGTGCCTTTCCCCGGTCTCATTATTAGATCCACCCGTGGCTTGCCAGTCCTCATGCGCCTGCGCTGCTCAATACCTATTAAAGCCTTCAAATGAATTGAATCGTATTCACTTGCAAAACACTTTATTGGAAAATGCATGTTTCCCCACATACTGTATCATCATTTCACATATCATTAAAACGAAAGATATGTACAAATGCCAAAGATGTCTGACACGTATTATAAACGACATCATCAGCTATATAGAAACTAACCTGCCCATGACAAGCTGCCACACTCTTGTGTTGCGGAGCAAAAGTTTTTGGCAACTCTGTGTATCCCTGGAGTACTAAACAGGATATAGCGAATACACAAAACAGGATATAGCGGCAGCTTGAGATACAAGTTTAACTCGTTCCGTGACCACATTGTACCTCAAAACACAAGCGCGAGATGCTTTTGATCAGAAAAATTGTACCTTCAATCCAGAATAAATTGTGTTGCGCCTGCTGCTGTGCACTACTTGCCCACCTGGGGGCAGTGTCATGCAGACATACGGATATAAAGGGAGACCGTCATGAAGTAAAATGAGGTAATATTAGTCGTAGAGGATAAAGAATATATGACTATGAGTTAGTTTTATAATTGGTCTACTTGTTGCTCGCAAGTCAAAGCAAAAAGCAGAAAAACGGTTTAGATTAAAAAAAAAAAAAAAACTAAAACTAAGCCATTCGTATCTCAAGGCCTCACTGTTTTTGTGTAGCTTGTGATCATTTCCTCAGCATTAGTCGAACACCGAGTAATAATTCTTTGAGGCTGGAAAAAGACTGCAGTTGTTCGGTGCCAGAGACAGATCGGATAGACAGTATACGCGAGACGAATACAGGCAAGAGGCTTCTGAAATGTGCGCTGTATATAATGATCTAGAATGATAGACACAAGGCTAAACTCTATGGCGGGCAGATGAAAATTTCAAAACGCGAATGTCAATACCTATTCACTGCTGTCTCCACGGGAAACAAGACAAGCAGAGACTGATCACAGCAGGCGAGTGCAATGGGTAGAAATGAGAACGGATGCTGGCTCAATGCGCCGGCCACTTGTTTAGCGACTTGAGTGGAGAGGTGGCCGAATGGCAACTGACAAAGATGTGAAAACCTTGGAGTTGGACGTGAAAAGATCCATGTTAGAAAATGGGAGCATTGTTGGGTGTGCCGCTAATGGCATTGAAGATGCCCATTGAGTCGGACAAAGTGCCGCTGGTGCCATCATTCACGGGGTTGATCTGGAAGAAATATTCAAGAGGAGGAAATGAGTTTATTTTTTTTCAAGATGACTTCTATAGTTTCATTCGCTCCGTGATCACACGTGCCGTTTTGGAGACAAATATGGGAACGCCAGATATTTTGCTTAGTTTCCCGAAACATCAATGCCTCGAAATGGGCCATCAGGAGATGCACTTTAACCATCGACATTTTTTCAGTTGGCACAGACCGGCGAATCGTATGGCATGTTTCTGGATATGTTTGTCATTTGGATTTGAGAAGCACAAAAAGGTAAACAATTTAAGGAAAGCATATGAGACAACAAACGACGGAGCAGTCAAGACTCAGGACGTCGAGCGGGTCATCCAGTGACTGGCGGCGCCGCTGTTTGAACCTCGTTCTGTCCGAGTCATGTATCGCTGCGGTTATACATGCTAGTGTACCGCCACCAGAGTTTGAGTGTGGCATAGAAAAGCGGCAAAACCGAAATATGATTATTATTATTATTACTAAACAGGCTTATTATCCAAACTGGTGTGTACTGTAGAAATACAACCACGCAGTTACCCTACTGTCATGTATATGAATTCAAAACACTGTGCGTACTGTGAAAATAAATAACAGTCGGTGCATTGTAAAGTAAGACTAAATTACTGGCATCCCTGCGGCCAGTAATCGCCCCTGTTATTCTACCAACAGATTCTTGACTCTGTGCACTTCCTGTACTTCTTTGTTTAATGTTCACTTGGGTCACTTGCACCGCGAGGCATCACAGTGCGGCATAGAGCATATTGACGTGAAGATCCAGCCCTACGCTGATGCGGAATAACTTTCAGGCAGTATCTATTGCGCTGTAAATAAATTAAAAGAACATGGAGAGGCATCACATTATCGAAATGACTTTCCCCCCATTAGCATCCCGATTACCTGCTCGTGCATGATGTTTGACAGCTCCCGAGTCAGATCCCGGTAGTTGGCCTTCATTTCATCATGATACTCCTGCTGATCCTCTTTAATCAAGCGCTCGTTTACAGCGAGTGCCTGGCCGCAGGCCTCCGCGAAATGCCTGCCAAAGCACAGCCTCCATTTTTAGTGCCAATCGAAAGCCGCAGTAAATCTATTCACAATGAAAAGACATAAAAGAAGGTCACGGCATATGGGAATGGCGCCGCTTCTGTACTTACCTGAAGACCTCTTTGAGTTGCTTGACCTTATTGTCCGGGTATTTCTTCGCACCGGTGTCATCTAAGAAGGCTCTGGCATAAGCGAGAGGACCGGCGTTGACCTGGGGACGACGATTTGTTGGTCAGCACATGACATAATCATTTTTATGACTACATTTCTGCTGATGATGTCAAGCTATATTGCCCCCCCCTCCCCACAAGCATGCTTAGTCTTAGAAATGATGTTCTTTAACCCCTGCATACAGTTTGGGTCAAATTTCAATGTCATTTTTCACCCTGAAATTTGATGACGTTTCCAAAAGTGACCTAAAATAATTAAAAAAAAAAAAAAAAAAAAAAAAACAACTCCAGTCAAGTTGACACGTACTGTAAAATAAAATATAAAAACAGAATACAATGATTTGTAAATCATGTTTAACCTATACTTTATTGAATGGGTCAGGGATTTTTTTTGACGAAAATCACGGGCGGGGGGGGTTTTCCCCAATGTAGAGAACATCAATGATAAATGCAGTCTCGACTGAGCTTTTCTTTTGACCTGTGCTTTACTTTCAAAACCAAGGACACCAATAAGAGATCTCCAAATGCATACCTGTCAACTTTTCGCAGCGCCAACCTGTATAAACTACCCAAAAAAATCCTTATAAAGAGCAAAAAATCCTTATAACATACCAAAGCATTTTATATGTCAAAATAACGGCAGAAAAAAACCCACGAAATCTGAATGATATATTTGTTTCCTTGTAGAACTTGCTTGTACACTACCGAAGTATGCAATGAATACTCTGCTGTTTTCAACTAGGAACCACGTGATTTACTGGAAAGTTACCGGAAATGAAAGCATTCGAGTAGACT